TCATGACTTTGAAACAAGCTATAGGTTTATCATAGGAAATAATTAGTATTCCCCTTTCTCACCTCCTAAGTGTAAAATTTCTTGAAGTTTTACATGCACACAGAAAACAGAACAAAAACTAACCGAATAGCTTGTTAAATTTTTACATCAATACACAGCTGTGTAGTCTGAACTGAGTTCATGAGACAATATATTACTTTATCCCGGGAAGCATTCTTCTGTCTCCTAGAGACAATCTTCCATCACCAGAAAATTGGTATTATGGCTTCTAACACAGAAAAAAATTTTCTTATTTGGGAACATTATATGAATTGTGCCTTCATTATTTGTGTCTGGCTACTTCCACTTTATTATGTTTTTGAGATTCATCTGTGTAATTGTACTTTCAGTAATTTTTACATAATGTTGCAGTGTATGAGTACACCCACAACACACTGTATTAATACCCCCTGTATGTATGTTCATGGGGTGGTCCCACTTTTGGCTATTATGAATAGCACTGTTTGAAGAATTCTTGTACATATCTTCAGTTACACATAATCACTTATTTCTGTTGGATTTGTACTTAGTACTACTCTAGGCTGTTGTAAACATGCCAGTTCAGCTTCACTGGTTGCTTCAAATTTTCTAAACAACCCTATAAACTGTATTCTTACCAACATGCTATTTTCTTTCTTCATTTTATGTAGTGACATACCTAACATTGTGGTTTTAACTTTGCCTTTGATGAAACAAGTTTCTTGGTCAGCAAAACATCTCCTCTGTTGATTTGTATTTATCTCATTGATTTGCAGGCATTTCTTTTATGTTCTAAATATGGTACCCTTGGAAACATAGACTGTGAACATCTCCACATTTTTTTTTAAATAAATAGGATTTACATATTTTATCATAAAATGCTGTAAAGTCTTTTAGAACACTTCCATCACTTCAGACTACTTCTTTCTTCCCTTTCCCAGTCAACACTCCTAGAACAGTAACACTCATCTGATTTCTTCACCATAGATGAATTTTCCCTAGTTTATAATTGTATGTAAATGGTTTTCTGCAGTATGTACTTGTTATGTTCAGTTTGACTTCATGTAATAGTTTTGAACTCTGTCATGTTGTTTGTATTGGTATCCACTCTTTTTCATTGCTGAGTAGTATTACTGGTAGATTATTCTGCTGTTAATATCCAGTAACCAATATTTCATCTGGGACTATTATGAATAAAACTGGGCAGTGTTTTATTCACAGCTGTTTATAGAGATAGCATTGTCCCTTTAAATTTTCATTATTTTTCTTTAATACTGGATTCACATTTTATATGTTGTTTTCTAGGCAGTCCACATAATTATAAGTCTACATTTATGCAAATGAAAAGTGACATACTTAAGATAAATTTTCATTAAAGAATGGCAATAACAAGTCTATTATTTGGCTTCCCTAGTATCTGGACCGACTCTTATTACAAACAACTGCTTGTGGGTACCAGTTACTTCCTTTTCTCACTTGGAATTTCATCTGTATAGATTTTCCCTTTTCCCATGTGATTGAAAGCATGGAATTAACCGGCTTTACTTTGTTTATTTTCAGTTGTATTGAGACCTTGGGGTTTTTTTTTTTTTTTTTTTGGAAGAAAAGAGAAATATTTGAACAAATATGTTTTGATGCTTCTCATAAACATATGACTTGAATTATAAACAATTTAAATATTTAAGAAGGGTATAAATGAACATTCGAAGAATAGGAGTAGTCTACAATGCTTTAAAAAAGATGATAGTAGAAAATAATTATATGTCAAATGTTATATTGTGTGTTTAAGACTAGTGATACTAAGTAAAAATATACTGCTAGACTCACCCACCCCAGTGCCTGTGATGCGACTTTCTATAAATATGCCTTTGAAACTGATAGCTTTGATCCTGTTGCCAAAATAATGTGAGATCCTAGAAATTTTCTAATTATAAATGACAGTATTTTAATTTCATTCTACTACCTCTTCTGTCCCTCCCATCTCAGCACAAGTGACTTGATCACTACAAGTTGCAGGATTGAATTAAAGCATACATCACATCATCTCTGGTTATTGTGGGGAAATCACAGCTGTTCTGCCAGATAACTGGTTTTCCAAAGCCCACTCAGGTTACTCCTTCCTTTATTTTCTTCCTGCCCAAATGGTTCAAGTCACCTAAAAGCAGTCTAGTAGAAGTGGAAGTTTCTCTTTTCAAACAGGGCTTAAAGTTTGTTTCTCCAAACCAATTGTTCAGAGAAAGCTGTCGGTAGAAGAGGTAAGGGATTTGGAATTCAGTTTTACATTCCTTGCTGAGCTTTCATATGGTTACACACTGTGAGCAGTTTAATATTAATTACAGAACATATATGCAGGCCGGGCAAGTGTGATGGTAAAGATTGTGCTTTAACTGCATTTCTGACAGCTTTTAATTTTGGGTTGTCACACAAAGGGAGTTTTATGCTGTAGGTCTATTTTGCAGTCTTAAAATTCAGTCTCCACCTCTAGGTGGCAGCACCAGATACTTTTTTTTTTTTTCATGTTTGAGGCCAGCTTGAATAAGTTCTGGTATAAGCAGTAAAACTTTCAAGTTGACTAAAACTTTGAAATATTCTATGAGAATTTGGTTAAATTACTTCGTGTGTTAAATAAGTTTGGCACTTACTGTACCCTGGGTCTTCAAGCTTCTAAAAGGATTTTTGATCCATTTTTCTTTTTTTAAAACATGGCATAGTATGTCTACTTTAAAAATGTAAGTAAGCCCTCTTCAGTTTGCCGGTTACATGTATAATTCTCCTTCCAAGAAAACCACTTGCTTGATGATGTTTTTGTGTTGAAGTAGCATGTACAAAGACTGTTGTATGCTTAATACTTAATATCTTCCTTTTGTGTTTTTAAAAACTACTAAGAACCATGGCTTAGTGAATATAAGATTGAAGCTTCTTTCTCTGAAACAGTTCAGCTCAAGAATAAATCTGAAGTAATTACTGCCATAGGAAGATTACAGTCACTTGTGGAAGTCAACATTTAGAGTAGATATTGTATAACACCTGATTTTTTCCCCCTCATGGTCAGACATTTGCTGAGTGTTCCTCTGTAAGTAGCAATATAGGCCACGTCCATTTTTGGTTAATACATCGGGTGGAAGGGTGAGTGGGTGGGTGAGCAGGCTGGCTAGCTCCCATTTTGCTCGGGTGTGCCAAGTGAAACTGGACTGATAGAGGAGGGTTGGGAAACAGTCCCTTGTTAATTATGTATATGTACTACTATGGTTTTGTTCCTTTGTTTTGGGAGTGTGTAAGAATCTTGCCTTTTAGAAAACTATTTCCCACCCCCCCCCCACTTTAAAGTTGAAAGTAGCATTGGAAATTGATTAGTAATTATAGTCAGAAAAAGTTAAAGCTGCTTTCTCATAACTACAGATTAATCAACACATTCTGTGAATATACTCTTGTATTCTCAACGAGAGATTAATGAATTAGGTGAATTAATGTGTTTCTATAGAGAACAAACAACCTCACTTATGAATGTGGTTTCTTACATTCAGATTCTTTGCCCTCTTTAAATGAGGGTATGTATTATCCATATTCTGCTTATCTATTATTTTTCTAAGAGGCACATTATTTATAAACTACAAATGTTAGTCTTGACATGGGGTGAGTGCCATATTTCACAGTAACATATCGCTTAATCTGTGGATTGTTCTGAGAAAAATATTTTAAAATTTTTCTTATGCTACATATTAGGAAATACTTTTAATTTCTATGAATCATGGTTATTCACTTCATGTGTATCATAAGTGTTTGTTTCACGTGAATATAGTCTGGATGGTGTGTCCATTTGCTATTTTGTGTTGTATTCAAGCACAAATTATTTAGTGTTTGTAGTGAGCACAGTTAAACCTGGCTTACTCTTTTATTATCTCATATGAAGTTTAAAACTGTGGATGGTGACACTTCCATTCTGTGGGTAAGAAAACTGAGACTGGCAGTCACCTATTCTTTGTTTGCCACCTTGCTACTCTGAAAGCATTTTCCTCAAGAATTTTACTGTGTGTCACATGTGAGTGACCAAAGAGAATATGGGAGTTTGAATTTTAAATATAAATCCAAGTAGTAAAAGTTGACAGATAGACTTTGAACAGGGGAAAATTAAATTGATAAAAATGTTTTAATTATTTTTGTTTATGGAAACAGTGTAATACATGCATTGATTTATTTATTATGTTGTTTCAAATGAAATATAGAAATTACATTTGGTTTCAAAGCTATTGTGGGTGTGTAGAACTGTGGAATGTTTAGATCCATCTTTTTGTACATGTTTTAAGTTTATGAATTCCAAACATACAATAACGATGTTGCACTTTGTCCAAATACTGCTTGTAATTTATAACCCCTAAATTAGACTTCAACATACACATTGTTAACTATTGAGCCAAGAGGAAATGGACCACTGCATTGATATCGAGGTTTGCAGTTGTGTCTGCATTTGAAGAAGTCATAATGGCAGTGAACCTATATTTTTAATGGGGATTTTGTTCTGTTTTCCTTTTTAAATGATTGCACTTTGAATATTTCTTAATAATAGCATAATTATTTGAGTTTTTAGTGTAATTTGAAAAAAAAAGCATCCTATGAAATGCTTTAGAGCCTGTATGTTCAGTGACATGTTTCTACATTTTATTGTTACTTGTTTGATTCATAATCTCTTATAAAATGAGAAGCCATTTGTCCACATGATCTTGAGTTAAAATGTTTTTATCTCTGTGTATAGAACTTGAAAAACAATTTGTGAGAATTTACTTTGGGTTTTTTTTTAAATAATTTTTTTACTTATATTACAATCTTGTTTTACATGCCAATCTGTCAATCCCAGTTCCCTTCCTTCCCCTCCCCTCTTCCTTTGGGGATACTTTATTTATTTTGAATGAATACTCATTTATTTATTTATTTATTTATTTATTTATTTATTTATTTATTTATTTATTTATTTATTTGCTTGATAGGACTTGACTCCACTCAGTTTAGAGTTCATCAGTATCATAAAGATGAAGAGACTGATGCTCTTCTTGGTGGTCCAGCACAGCTGACTGATGAAGAGAAATACAAGGATTGTGAAAAATTCAAATGCCTTTGTTCTACATGTGGAACTGAAAATATTTATGATAATGTCTTTGAAGGCTCGGTTAGTTATTCCTTTTTGTTTCTGTCTTTTATTTTGTTTGGAAACTAGTGCAGAGTGTCATGCCCTACACTTTGGGGTATATAAAGGTAATCTAGATGTTGCACTTATGTCTTAAATAATTTTTGCTACATGAATTCTGCTTTCAGAACTCCATTTCTGCTGAGACATGCTTAATTCAATGTGCTTTAATAATTGTTTTTTGGCTTCCTAGAGTGCTTGACCATAGTTTTAAAATAGACTCTCTTAAAATTTCTAATTATCTCAAAATATTTTTATTGGAACTCTTTAATTAGTAACTTGTATTCCCTATTCCCAACCCCCACTTATTAAGATAGAGCAATTCTTGGCCTTTTTCTTAACAAGAGTTAAGCATGTGGGGAAAGTTTTTGTCCTTACATGTTTCTCTTGCCTCCCTTTTTTTCAAAGGTATTCTTACTATCTTTTCTGTGGTCTTTCCATATCAGAAATTTAAAAAAAAAATCACAAGGAGACATTCCTGTCAAGAAGTACTGCCAAAATATGTATCATTGACCTTGGATCAGAACTTGAAACTTGGCCAATTCACTTGATTTCACTTCAGTGTTATGAGTGTGCTAGTCATTGGCAAATGAGTAGGCAGCAGAACTCTGTGAAACCTTGAAACTAAAAGAAAATAGATCCTTTATCTAAATTAAAAGTAATTATTTTAAGTTAATTTGGACAAACAGCAGATGTTTGCGGGTTTTTTTTTTTTTTTTTTTAATCAAAACAAAGCAGCTTTTGGAAGCAAGTGCAAGGAAGAGAGAGGCAGACACATATCAGCAATACTTGCTAAATCCTTGAGTTTTGCTTCATTACAGCTGTAAATAAGATAGTTAATTGCATGGAGGCTTGACGACTTGCAGATGGGCTAACTGTGGAAGAGCCGATGTCAAGCTCTGAAATCTCTTCCACCTGGAATTGCTTTGCTTGTCGGGTAGGGTTATGCACCAGATTGGAGCAGGAAACCAACCAAGATGTTTAAGTACCCAGAAGGAAAACAAATGCTCCAGAAACCCCAACTGTTTTCCTATATCTTATATTTGTTTTGTTTTTGTTTAAAACAAATCATGACAATAAAATGTTTCTCCAACTGCTAATAGTTATTCGTCCAAATTCATACTCTTACTGAAGCCTTCTTTCCACAAATACATTTCACTTCTTTTCAAGCACAGAAACTTTAGATTTGCCAATCTGGTGATAAATGAGATTGGTTTATTGCTTTTGTAGTACAAGGCTTTTAAATTTAGTTTTTTCTGCCTAAAATTCAGTTGGTGCAGTAATAGCAAACTAATGTCATATAAAGGCTCTTGCCTTATCTTCAAGTTTGGAATGAATGAGTGCAAATTAAAATTTTTTGATCAGTGTCTTTAGAAGAATGTTTATTTTTGGTAACATGATTTCTCTGGTATTTTTGGAGAAGTGGCCTTATCCGTAAAGCCTGTCTTGCATGGAATGTAAAGTAATGAGTTTATGGTTTTCTCTTTGACTTTGTGCTCCATTGTGATGATAACAAAAGAGTATTTGCCATGTACTTTTAAGTCCTAAGTAGTGGATAAAGCAGAGTTCAAAACTCACCTCTAAAAGTATTGTGCACCAAGAAAAGAAAAGAAAGTTTTAAGCATAAAATACTTTCTGGTAATAACCTTTTGTGTACTTGTCTGTCCTGGCTTCTATAGGGAATTGATTTGGAGCCCAGCTTGTATCGGTGCAGTAATGTTGATTGTAAGGCTTCACCACTCAACTTTATGGTACAGCTGAGCAACAAATTGACCATGGATATTAGACATTGCATCAAAAAGTACTATGATGTAAGTATCTGTAATGGGACTTTACACATTCAATTTACTGAAGTATAATAATTGTTTTATAGTATTTGATGCAAGCTGAAAGCATTTAGGAAAAACTCATAGTAAAATACTATTAATAAAATGTGACAGACTGAATTTTAAAATTTATTTACATTTACTTACTTATGGGGGATGGTGGTGGTGCAGGATGATTCCTGTATGGTGGTTAGATGAGGGAGTTGGTTCTCAATTTCCATCAACTTGGTTCCAGGAGTTCAGACTTAGGCAATTGGGGGGGGGGTGCTTTACCAACTAAGCCATGAAATCTGATCAAAGTATGAAATTTCTGTCTAGTAATAAGACAAACAATTTGATTTCTCATATTTCTTTCATTAATGACAAGTATTTTAAAGATTGAAAGTTGAGTTTTAAGAAAAGTGAAAGTGTATTAAGAAATTTTATTTTAATATATTATTGCCTAGATAACTAAATTGAGTGGTCACTCAGATATTTGTCTGCAATAAGAAAGATACCAATGTTACTTGTCTCCAGTGAGTATAGTCATGATGCTATGGATAATGATTTTACTAGGTTGACCACTGCCCTAGTACTTTGTGCTCACATGACAATCTAAGTCAATCTCCTGATTACTTTTCTGGAGAAATGAAAAGAAACATCTTTTAAATTGAAGTGCAATTTGAGATTTCAAAGAGAATATCTCAGTTTTATATATGTACAATAAAATTCCCAGAAGAGTAAGTAAGCTTTCTTTGCTTTTATTCCAAGGGTTTGTTTTGTTTTCTTAACACTTTTCAAATGAATGAGTTGTTTTTCTCTTTAAAATTAAAATTTAAAAAGACTGTATATTCCTCATTTTTCATTGTGTACCATAGCATTTGTCATCCAAACAAATTTTCTGTCACTTAAAAAAATTCACTGTATCTTTTTTAAAAGCTATATTGAGCTATACTGAGAAACCCTATTTTGAAAATGAAAAACAAAAACAACTAGGAAAAAAGGCTGTGTTGACAAGGCATTTAAAAAAATATTTAGGTACTATTAGGTAAGACCCATGACTTTAACATTCTATACTTTGTACTTGTTAATTAAAATGTAACATAGCCATTTCTTTTTTTGAAACACATGTGAAGTAATTTGAAACATGTTTCACATAGTAAGAAATATAATTCATTATAGGAAAATGGATACTATATTACTAAGATGAAGAATGAGAACACAGAGACCCATTGTGATTTGGCATAGAATAATTTGTATTTATATTTTTAAAAAGTAGTTTTTCTGAAAAATAATAATTAAGACTACACTTTGGAAAACTACAAAGTTTAGTGAATAAAGCTGTGCTGCATGCTGCAGTTAATGAAGAGCTGGGTGGGAATAAAGTTACCTGTGGGGTCACATTCTATAGTACATGAAACAATCATCTCATGAAATGTTAGACCTTTATTTAGCATGAAGAACCCAAATAAAAACTATTCATCTTCTCATTTACAGGCTTCATTGAGCAAAGTATGATTCTTGACTGTTGGGAAGAATCCTGGCTTTTCCCCCTGTGTTTAGTCTATCAAAAACTTCACCATGGAAATAGTAATACTAAAACAATGAATCTAGCTCCTTCGAGCTATCTGTTTTGACTAAGTTGAGAACGGGGAAGAAAAACGATCCATATAATTAGAATGTGCCCAAACTTAAAGATGAATTTATAATCTAATTGTGTGTGTGTGTGTGTGTGTGTGTGTGTGTGTGTTGGTGGTGGTGATGGTGATGGCCATGACCATAGTTACAAAAGCATTTTTAAGCTAAGTAATTTATTTAAAATAAAGTTGTTAGAACACTTGCTTTGTGTTGTCTGACAACTATCTCTGTAACAAGCAAGTGAAAGATTTTCTGCATTTAACTGCCCACTTTTCCTGATATTTCTAAGATTGTCTTTAAAGATATTTCTGATCATTATAGCCAAATGTTGCTCTTGTGATTAAGGGTTGATAGAACTGTTGGTACTCAAAATTAGAAACTTCCTACTTTCTGATCCTAATCATAAGTGACTGGACAGGAGAAAAATACCTCCATCATCTCTTTCCTGGTTGTATATGAACAGTATATCTTCAAAGTGTGTGAGATACAGCTCTATTTTTTGTTGTCTCCAGATACAATGCAACTTTTGCCAGCAGAGGGGCATGATGCTTAGTTTCTTTGGTTAATTGTGCCTCAAGTAACACTGTTCAGTATGGTGTATGATAATTAATGACAGTCAAACTAAAGACTGATGCAGCAAGCATAATAGAAAGCATATTGAGATAAAGTACTGAAATTAAGTGCCTTTACCATTTGGTTACCAAAATGGCTTCTTCATATTTTGTACTATTAAAAAAATACTTATTGAATACAAACAATTGTTTGTGTTAAGAGTATCATTTACATTAGTCTTAAAATTACAGCAAGGGAAATCAATGTACATTGAGAAAAGATGCCATCCTTAGAAAGGAAGAACTTGGAGAAGTTTAATGGAAGGTGGCATTTGACCAAATGCTGTAACCTGACAAGGATCTTAGTTACAGAGTATTATGAAATTAAGTTGCCAAGAAAAGAAATTAAAAGTCATGAAATATACTTCTAAATCATTTGCATTTTAGAAATTGCATCATACACTCTTCTGTTATGGATAAATATTCCTGACTTGATGAATGAATGTGATGTAACATTTTTGCAAATGTATATATCTTAGAATCAATCTACTTCACATCATATTTTTATAATGACTTCTTTAGTAGGTGATGCTCTTTCCCAAACCTTTCCATACCATAGTGTGTGTATTTTTTGTTTTTGGTAATCTCCTTTCCATTAACATACAAATTTTCTCATGCATGGAAATGTATAAGACTAATAAACAAGTGAGTTTTTTGAGTAATATATTGATTTACTTAAGAGAATTACAACTTTGTATTGTATTTTATTTCAAGGTTTGATGAAGTGTTGAAAAGCTGACATAGCACAAAAAAAACCCTTAATTCAAAATTGATTGCATGCTTTGAGCCTTGCTTGTTACTCTGTTAATACTGAACTGGTATTTCTTTTTAATCATAAGAAGGCATATTAATCTCTAAGCTTTTAAGGATAGTTTTTGAGATTCTAGTTTAGAATGAAAAATGGACACATGTCCCCATAAATTCTGTCCCCAAAAGCAAACACACACACACACACACACACACACACACACACACACACACGGGGGGGGGGTGAGGGAAGGAGAGGTAGAGAGAGAGAGACAAAGGGAGAGAAGCACTAGCTAATCTAAATTGGGAAATGAAGAGGGCTTTTTTTAAGCATGAAAATTTCATCATCTTGTCAGCTGGCAGAATGCCTGCTGTGTGGATTCACAAAGGCTAAGAATTACACTTTCATGAAATTTTCCTCACTAACTGCCCTGGTTAATTTGAAAGATAACCCACTGTTCTAATTCATTCCTCAATTGGGCGGTGCAGGTTTTATCTTTGATCTGACAAAGCATTTGTGTTAATCGTTTTGGCCCTCCACTAGACACTCTTGGGATTGTGCTTTTACAATAAATGTGTCTGTGATAGCTCTTTAGTCTATTATACTTACAATAGATCCATAGAACTGGTAATTAATTCTCCACTGCTTTGGAAATGGGAAGAATAGGTGTAGCTCTGTCAAGTACTGCTGGGAAGTTTGTTTAGCTGGTTCATTTCTGAAGTGTTCCCTCAACTGTCCAAAAAGCGAATATGAGATTGAGATGCTATCCTGTACTAATGACTTGCTGATAAGTGGGAAATTCAACCCTTCTTGGTACCTGGGAGTGGGTCATTTACTATCAGTTACTATGTACACTAAGTTCTCATTTTGAATATATACATGGAGTCAAACCTTCCTAAAGATGGAGTTCTAAAAGGCACAATGATAGTGAACTCTATTGTGTTCCCCATTCCTTGTATATAGGGTTAAGGTGTTTGAATAAGGCAAAGTATGTTTCCTTACCAGCCTTCCTGTGTCTCTAAGTACTTGCAAAAGAATATTCCATAGGGTTCTTGCTATTATTTTTGAATGTTGAGATATTGCTAACCCTAATGGAATTGCCCTTTCATCTAAAAAAAAAAAAAAAAAAAAAAAAAAAGAACAAATGAGTGGCTATCAGTGTTTTAGCCCTTGTTTAGTTGCTAGGGCCAGAATTAGTGGTGTAATTCATTAGAAATTAGCTCTAGGTTTGAAATTTGAGAATTATCCGAATTGTGCCTTTTGAGGATTGAATTTATACCTTCTGTGTCTCATCTGTGATCTCTGCCACAGCCCTTCATTGAGTAATGGGTGTCCTTGATGTTAGTTACCAAGGAACCTACAAATAAAGGTTATTATTTTTAATATTTTCTTTAAATTCTTTTTTCATAATATTATTACACTGACAGGGCTTATTTGTAATATACAAGATTGATATCTAGTTAACATGAAGTTCCACATTTATGATACATACTTAAAGCATTGAGAGATAGCTCTTTTGTTACTGTCTTTGTATTTTGCATTACTGATGACTGCAATATCTCAGTAGCCTTAATTTGTTTTCTTATCAAGCCAAGTATGTGGCAAAGAGTCAGTACCACCAAATATTATCATTGTGATACAGAATAGCAGCCAGCCTAAGTATAATACTCCCATTGTCTTTTGAGAGAAGTCCTATTCCTGACTAGATAACATGGGGCAGAGGAGAGCAGATACCTAGCTTGTTACCTTCTTACTGATGCTGTGTCTATATTTCTGTTTTACTTAGTGTATTGTCATAGCAAAAGTATGTTATTCTTCAGGACCCATTTTTATGAGGAATTCAAAAATTATGCTCAAAGAGTTAATATCAGGCATCAAGCATTATGTTCTCAAGCTCAAGATTGACTTGAAATTGCCTTTTATCAAAGGTGTAATGATGAGCCAGGCATAGTGGCAGATAACTTTAATTCCAGCACTAGGGAGGCATATAGGCAAATCTCTGTGAGATCAAGGACAGCCAGGACTATTACACGGAGAAATGCGAGAATGGAATGTTGGTTAAACTATTTGTTCACAAAAATATG